TGACTGGATATGTATTTCAGATATCTTAAATACAATTCTTACTAGTACTTTCAGGACCTTGGACAGTTCCTTTAGCCATTCACTCTGTCTAAAGTCCTGAAACAGTCCAGCACTTTCAGGACCTTGGACAGTTCCTTTAGCCATTCACACTGTCTAAAGTCCTGAAAGAGTCCAGCACTTTCAGAACCTTGGACACTTCATTTAGCCATTCACACTGTCTGAAGTCCTGAAAGAGTCCAGCACTTTCAGGACCTTGGACAGTTCCTTTAGCCATTCACACTGTCTAAAGTCCTGAAACGGTCCAGCACTTTCAGGACCTTGGACAGTTCCTTTAGCCATTCACACTGTCTAAAGTCCTGAAACAGTCCAGCACTTTCAGGACCTTGGACAGTTCCTTAGCCATTCACACTGTCTAAAGCAGTGATTCCCAAAGCAAGGGTATGCGAACATATTACGGGGGTATGTGCAGTGTTGTATAAAGTACCTCAAAGTGATACTTGAGAATTAAATGTTTTAGGGAGTTAAATAAATATTTTGATTTAATAATCAGTTGTAGTACATTATAGTTTTAGAGAATCATCATTACATTTGACTGAAGGGTTACTAGTGGTATGACAAAATGGCTCAGGGGTACACAAGTCTTAAAAGGTTGGGAACCACTGCCTTGCACTTCATCAGTTYAGCTTGCAGAATTGTAAACTTTCCCTTTGTTTCACTGGAGGTGAAGGCTTGTGTGCCAGACTCTGAGGTCCAGCTGGATCAGAGCTGCCCTGAGGTCATTACRGAGAGGTTCRCACAAACTCACTGAGAYGGCTCGGCTTCCYATCCCATGCTTTTAGAACTTAAATCTATGTCTATAGTTTTATAATTTTTTAGCTTAAAAACAAATTTCTACATCATTAATACCACATTTTTCAGCCTCCAGCCTGAAATATTTGAAATATTTGCAAACAAAACCAAAAATAATATCAGGTCTTCCACATCTTATTCCAACAACAGCATATATCAGTACATAATATCATAATATGCTTTAAATAAATTATCTTTAATCATATTTTCAAACATATACACTTTTTTCTATCAGCATCAATATTTTTCTATAACGTTTTTCCTTGAATTGAAATACGGTGTTCTTTCAAATTAGTTCTCCATTTTCTTAAGATTTTATTTACTTTTTTTTCAAACCGAGTCCTATCTGGCAGTATGAAACACAGGGAACAACTCCCTTTTAATGGGAAAAAATCTCTACCGGGCTCAGGCTGGGTGGTAATGAAGATCTTTTGTGCAGAACCAGTTTGATTTTATTTTGATGCTTGTGGGTAAATGTGGGAGGCAAAATGAAATTTCATGAGACAACACCTCCCAAAAAGATTCTTTAGAGAGTGTTTTTGTGAATGGATATGAAAAACAACAACAAAACGCTCCATATCTTGTTTTTTTTTTTCTTCTTCAAGCTAAAGTAAGTAAAGCCTGCGGCTGTTGTTTAGTTTTAAAGCCCTTACACATTCCTTAACATAAGTCTTACATTACAGACCGAGAGCCCACGGGCATTTTACAATCCACCAGAACAGGCTTTGTAGTTTTGTGTGCGTGTGCATACAGGCCCTGAAAAGTCCTGTTCTTGCAAGATTATAAGAACCTGTTATGAAAAGACGCGTGCAGAGACAGTGTCCCAAAACATTTTGTTTATTGCCGACAACAACAAGTACTGATCCTGCAGTGTTCATGGAAATAATGAATAAAAGAAAATAAATTGCACTTAAAATAAAGGAGTGTATCCACTTGTTCACAAATCCACAGTTCAAGTTCAAGTTTTTGATTTGCTATTTTATTGGGTTGGTAATTTATATTATTTAAATCTGTGCTCAACACAACAGCCTGCTGCTTTAAACGTATTGTAAATAGCCTCTTTATAAATCTATCTGCTCATTAATGTTTATACTATAGTTTGTTACATAAATGTTGCAAGTAGCTTTTTAATGTGGAGCTATTTTTGCTAAATTGAGTAAAACTGAAAATAGGTTTTGATTTTGTTGAGCATAAACATAAAAGACTGTGTTATTTATTCAAATAGAATATGATTTATTAGTGATATACAGCTGTGTGATAACGAGGAACACTTTTGTCAAACAAGTTGCTTTGACTAGTTATTTTCTATTTTAAATTTATATGTTGTTCTTATGTTCAGTTCAAGTAAAGATTTGAACCATAAAAATGATCACTGTTTTTATTTTTCTGTGTACTTTTTATTTTAATTTTCAAAGATAAACCATGCCCATCATGTTAACAATGATAGCAATATTCCAGTTGCCTTAACTCGGCTCAATTTCCCATTTTATGAACCAGGTATATTATCTTTATAATGATAATAAAGCGGATTTTATCCCTCATATGATTATGTAGTTTTAAGCAATAGTCATGTAATGCGCTAATGAGGCCACAAGATGGCGCGATTTGACAGAATTACCAGAATTAACCACTTTATTTATCTATTTTAAAACTTTATTAGACTGTCTTCAGCGCGTCGACGTGAAATTAATACTTTATATTTTTTTTCTCCGTTGGACAATAAAAGCAGGTGTTTAGCCTGTGAGTATCAGTGTCTGTGGGAAACAGGTTACGCAAGGCTTTTGACGGTTTTAAACACGCCCAGGTGTAGCCTACCTTTTGCAGGTTGAGTCGTTTGATTTTCACTTCCGACAAGGAGTGACTGTCTGGGTGCAGACTGGAATTCATGACTCCTATTAGCAGGAAGTGGGAAAAAATAACTTTTCCAGTGGATTTAGACKGACCCTCGGGAAGGGGACGGAGGATAAATGATTGACTACACGTATAATCGGACATGGCCGCTGCTTTTCCTCGCAGGATTTGTGCTGTCAGGTGGGTTGAAGCAGCTCCTCGTTCCCGTGAAGTAAACCTGGTTTCGGGTTCCGAACAGATGAGATAAAGCTCTGTGTTTTGGAGGGGTGGAGGGATGAAGACAGGTTGTTTTCTCACAGAGCGACCTTTGATTAGCTGAGCCGCAGGCCCTGTTCAACCTGACGCACTGATCAACTTCACAAAATAAAGTCAAATGACTTTTAGACTTCACAAACAGACGTGTTGCTAATGTTGATATGCTTTAAGTGCAAGAGTTATTTATATGTCATATTTAAAAGTCAGCATTCCGAGATTTAATCAACCAAGACAATAGGGCTGGCTGTTATTAACAACCTCACAATTAAATTAAATGTCTTTTTTTGGGCCACAATTTGAGTCAGTTTTGCTAAATATTTCATTATCAATTTGATAATAGTAAGTACATAAATAAATCATTAGAATCCCTGTGGATATGTTTTTAAATTTTTACTTTCTTGCCCATATAAATAGAATGCAGTGTTTCCCAAAGTTGGGGTCGGGACCCAAAGTGGGGTCCCGAAACATCAAGGTGGGGTCCTGAAAAG